TGAAGTAAAATACTCTACCGTTATTGTAATATTAAAAGAAGAAGGTGTTCTTAAAAATACCCCAAGTGCATCATAAATGTAAGCGAAAAAATTTTTAGAAATCAACGCGACCTCTTAGCCACTTTCAAATTGCACTTTATTTTACTAAAATTTAGAGGCCTAAAAAACTGCATACCCACAATTTTTCTAGAAACTCAAAAAAAAATTTAATTTTAGTTTTTTTTTTTTTTTTTAATTTAAATATTCTTTTTTGGGAAATTTTTTTTTTCATTTGGGGGATCCCTGGAATTGTTTTCAACTCGTTTTAATTATGTTACATTTATTAACTGGAACAGGTAAATCGATTTTCTTCAAAATTTATTTTCTGCCCTTTGCACTAAAAAATTTAATACAAACAAACAAAAATTCAAAAATCTGACTCAACCGGTCTCTTGCAAATTTTATTAGCTTTCATTGAAAAACAAATAATTATCAAATTGAGTGATAAATGAAAGCTCCAGTGAATTGTGAACACTAAATTCCAGTTTTGAATCACTGTGCACTGTGGGTTGTCCTACGCAAATATATATATGTACTTCTAGGTCTCGGGTACAATACGATCAACATATATCCAACTAGCCTATGCATTTCCATCAACATCACATCAGTTCATCATCCTTTCCGTTTATCCTATCCATCAATACCAAAACAGCTCTGAACTCAACCAAGAAAAGGTGTATTCTTCTGCGAAAGTTGACTTAGCAGTCAGGTTAAGGAAAAGAGCAACTACAACAGTAACAAGAAGCAACGCACAAAATAAATAATATCCGATATAGACTTCCATTGCAGTATTTATTTATTACTATCCAAATAGATTGCTTTTAACAAGTGACGGTTGAGTAATCTTGCCTCTCGCATTGAAGTTATGTGGTTTATTTGGGTCCTTACCTAGATATACACAAGACGATACGATTTTATTGTTCGTGTTTTAACTCGGAACATCAAAAACTCTTCGAAATTATTAGATTAAGATTACAGTATGAGCGACCGTTATCGCCAACGATAGAATCACTTGTTGACTTTGTCGAGTAGCCAGTCGATACTGCTGGAATAGCAACACTTGAGACATTACATAGTTTTCCTTGACGTCAATTAATATAAACATAATTGACACTGCTGCTTAGATAGCTAACAGTGCACCAAAATAGTAGCACTCAACATAAGGAGCACCCCGATCAGTAGCGATACAACACAGCTGCCGCTTATCAGCACTCAAACCTATAGGCCACAACTGAAACAGCAATAAAAGTGATTACTTCACACCTCATTAACAGCTGAGTGGATATACGTAAATATGTATCAGAGAACAGTACGAGTGCATTATTTTGTGACTCTAAATACAATCGCATTAAATTTCATCACACATTATTTTTGTTATTTTCCGCCCAAAATGGTATATTTTAAGCTGTTAAGCTATGGAGTTAAGACACAGCAAAGCAGCAAATATAAACTGAGTAAGAAAAGTATAAATGCGATGGACTTAGTGTTGCGGTGTACTCATGCCGTTCTCTGGTAGGTATGTATGTATGTATATATCTAGGGAAAGTGTAGTTGATGATCACCCACGCCAATTGTTTACAGCTACAGCTACACCTAAGCCGGCAGCCAAAGCAGCACAGTAACACCGACGCCCCATCAGCGATGTACATTTGTCAACCGACACTGCATATCACCGCCGCTCACCAACACTCATCTCATCTCTCACACATCGCACATTCATGCCAACGCTAATCTAATTTATGTAGCTGATTATAAACGCTAAGAGTGGTACGGTAATTGTCCGATCACTGGCAACTGGATGAAGAAATTCAAAGGCAACCTAGAAAACATTTTTTTTTATCTGTATACCAGTAATAAACCACGCCGACAGACTTTACAGTGGCTAATTTGTAAGGTTGGATTAAAGGCTAATTGGCTTATTACAACCAACAGAGTGTAGACGGCAGACAAGGTAACAAATTCTGTGTATATATTTCTGCCATTGACGTCACGCCACTTCTGACGTTCTTTTTTTTTAATTATATTTTACATGTTTACTTTTGTTGTTGCCTAATTTTGTCTGAATTAATATTTGAAGAATCATTGATAAGAAAAGTTGGTTGAGTTTGAAATTTGCGTGAGTGTGTTTGCTTTTTTAGTACCTTGAGAAATCTGCCATATATGTATGTATGTGTGTATCATCGAGAAATATCACTAAGTTCATTATACGCCATGTAGTACCCTTAGCGCGAGATATTGAAACAAAGTTTTGAAACAAAAACTTCAAATTTCTTTCGGCGGCATTTATTGGCATTGTTTCAGATATTAATTTGTTAGATTATTGGACGGACCCTGTGGCTGAGTGCTTAAACGGGCGTACTACCACTCCGCAGGACCTGGGTCTAAATTAGAAAAAGTTGTTTCTACCAGCGGTCGCCCCTCGGCAGGGAATGGTAAGCCGCCGAATGTATTTCTGCTATGAAAAAGCATCTCATAAAAATCCATTTGCCGTTCGTAGGCGGCGTATAACTGTAACTACATCAAAACACACGCCACAAATTGGAGGAGAAGCTCGGCCAAATACTTAACAAAAGCTTAGACGCCAAAATATGATGAATAAATTATTGATGTACATAAAAATAAATAGTATTATCGATTAGTTTATCGAAATTTTCTTATTTATTTATGATGATCGTTATGCATAATCGATTGATCGAAGCATTGTTCGGCTTCATTGATAAAATTTATCTAAACAATTATCCAAAAATGTTTTAGATATTAGGTATGATGTTTTGCTCGCCAGCTAGCGCCCACGGGAGCCTGAAACTGCCCATTTTGTATTTCTTTTGTCAGTTCTCGGACTGTTGAGCGCCGCTCTGAGGGAGTAATTTGTGTTTTTCACTAGGCCGAGATAGCTCTGATTATTTTCTAGGCGAGTTTGTGAAAATTGTCAAACTGCCAGAAGAAGACGAAGAAGAAGAAGAAGAATGACTAACAAGCGACTTCAGACTAATAAATATATCCATATTTAGCTGTTCTTCTTTGATTAATAAATGGAAAAATATCAACTGAACTAATAATTTTACTTTAATGAGTTCGCTGGGTCTCTGCCTTCCTGTGGTTTCGGGCATTTGCTTCTCTTCTGTGAGAGCATTTCGTACTTAGCTCGTTTATTTTATTTGAAATATCAAGATGATAACGAAATCAACAGTTCGTTATTTGTTCACCTTCTTACAAGAGATGTCATCAGGAGACTTGGTATACGGAAAACTTGGCATATAATACAGAAATGTGTAAAAAAATACCACTGGGCAACTTTTCAAAGCAAATTTTATAGAATGAAACTAAATTAAGATGTCTTGAATACAAAAGACTCAGTATCGGCCTCTACCCAGGCACTCAAACTTCAAACTTTTTTTTTACTTCGAATTTCTGAGTCTTATCGTTGGTCGAGTCAAAGCTTCTGAGAATCAATCTTTATGACCCTTCCATTTTCTAAGTGGCTAAGAAAGAATTTTCCTTAGAATCCTCATAAATCCACATAAGCGCGCAACATGCAAAACAACAAATTCTAAATCTATCACGCGCACTGATTCTCCGAATTTTCCACAAACAACCAGCACACTCTCTCGTACAACCTAATCTAGGTGTTTACGTGGCAACAAAGCATCGCTCGCTTCTTCACCATATTATAGATAGTGCGTCCCAGCGATGATGGATGACGTCAATTGCATTTCTCAAGCGACGGAAGCAGACATACAGACCAAAAGTCTACAGCTTGTAGGGTTGGTTTATCTCGTTATTGTTATTACTCTTGTCATTACGTGCATTATTTGACGCGAGGCATTGTTATTGCTTCTTATGCCTGTGTCGTCTGGCTCGCGGGCTGGCTTACAGTGAAACAAAATCCAAATAAACCGCTTATCAGCGCATATTAAATTAAACAAGAAAATGAATTGCGAAATTAACTTGAGCGCAATTAAGATCCAACCGGCATCGCCTACGAGATTTGCTTAACAGGTAGTTTTGTTCATTGTAGACCGTCGACTGTACGATGATGGCTAGTGGCTGATAGCTTGGCGGGTAGCGGCTGGATGGAACGACCAAAACTACGAAAACAAAGACGTCAGCGTTGCTGTGGGACGATCTTTTTTTACAAGCGCATGCCGAGCGCCTAGTAGTTGGTGTTGAAGCGAGAAACAGGCGAACGTGAGTACAAGCAGGCGCGCTTTGACGCAGGCATCAGTTGAGTTATTCGATTTTTGGCCAAGCATTTGTCTGACATTCACCCGCAATGCGACGTCCTTAAGCGGCCTGCGCGTGGAAATGATCTTTTTTTTAATTTTTAATTGTGAAATTCAAGTGTGCTTATACATACATACACAATTTGTTACCGTCGTTCAATTATTACTTTAAAAAAAGCAGCCGGCAAAGCCAAGGCTTATCGATTAATCCGCTGAAATGTGTCGCCTTCAGGATCAGCGGAGCCACTTGTGTTCATTTGTTTACATTCACGAACGTTTTTTGTCTTCGATGCCACTTAAGTGTAATACCGATTGCATGGGCGGCGCACCCACGCTCTCTGCGCGCCTCCGATCCGCGACCGCTGCCGCCTGCGTTGCTATCATTAGTCGGCGCTGCCGCAAGCGCTTTGTGCTTTGCGCTTAGCTTGTCGCCATTTGTCATCCGCTGTCGAACGCGCGTGTATGTGTTTGGGTGCACTGTCATTTGTATATTCCCCTTTATGATTGCGATCACATTCCCCCACCAATTCTTGGTGCTGCCGCTGTCGCCGCCGTCAGTCAGTGAAAGGTGTGTGCGATCATGCACGTCACACTAATTGCTGTCAAAATCTTTTGCACAGCGCGACTGACGTCAAAGCGAGCCAACACACAACGCCGCGCTCCACTTTGGCCGCCGCTTTTTTATGCCATGCATGGCATGCATGGATTCAATTTTTCAATTCGCATTCGTATTTCGCAATGGCACAGTGGCGCATAGCGTGTCTAAGTGACTGCTGGGTCGCGCTACAACGAAACGTAGATCGAATAGTAGGGGAAACGAAGAACTGCTAATTGATCTACTCCGGTGTGCAACTGAATTTGATGAGTTCGCGCCATTTATTTGACAGCAGCTATCGAATACTCGAATTTTCGACTAAACGATAACATTTTGCGGGAATTGAAGGGAAAAAAGATTGAGACTTTGCACCGTCCTATCTCCAACTTATGGCCATAATTTTTACCGAATCACTAATCAAATATTATCAGCACAGCCAACTATGTCTGCTGACCATAAACGCCAAGCAGCTGTCAAATACATATTCGACATTTTCGCTTTGCTGTTATTAATTTTACGCGCCTGCTGCGGCTTCCCACACTCCTCTGCCCCATTATAGCGACAACAGAATGTTGGACAAGCCAAGAAGTGATAGTGAAAAGAAAGCATTAGCGAGCGTCAAAAATAAGTATACCCTGACGTTTTGACGATTTTATATATTTCTATTTTCAACAACAATTTTTATTTATATATAGTTCATTCAGCAGCAAAACCACCAAGAATCAATTTTTTTAATTTCATACGGAACTCGGGGGAAAAGGAAAAAAATTTCATCGAAATTTTCAGCTTTTCAATTCGAATTCTTAGGGTGCGTTCACACAGAATGTTAATTGGCGTCCAGCGAAGAAAAGAAAAGCGGAGCGGAGCTGCTGGTGTTCACACTGAACGTAGCGGAGCGGAGCTTTTTCCATGGAATCGGCCGTAAACATATCACAAAACTGACAATCAATGAAAACCAGCTGAAATATGTGTTCAATTTGTTTCATTTGCTTTCTTGAAAAATATATTTATTTTTGTTTAATTATTTTAATTTTTTATTCGCATCAGAGTCATGAAGCGGAAACATCAAAAGCAAAATTTAAAAACACAAAAATTCTTTACTTTCAGCTTCCTTCTTCAAGAGCTTGCTGTATGAACACTTTAGCTACATTAATTTGAAAGCTCGGCGCTACTCCACTCGTTCGGATCTGCTTCCCGCGTGAACGCACCCTTAGAGCCCTTTAAATTTTAATATAATAAAGTAAAAATTACCAGTCGCTAAAAATTGCAATTATTTTTTGAATTTTGTTTTGCCGAGTGTTTTGCGCATTTTCTTCCATTTAACGCATGAACACAATCCTTTTTCATATGGAAGAAGGTAGTGATAGTAGAACAAACCGGATAGAAATCCCAGACCTACTTCCTACATCCATATAAAGTTATTTGTCCGCAGTTCGAACAAAATTAGGATCTACTAGGAGCTGTCTCTCAGATATGTCGCAGAATCGAGCTCAACAATGGTGGCAGGAGATTTATTACTCCCCATTCTGGAAACTAATTAGCCCTGCTGCGGCATTTTCTACAACATTTCTTAGGATAACGATCTCCCATTATCCATGTTGACCTTTCCTCATCGATATTTGAATACGCTCAGCATGAACAGTCCCGATTTCCTTACGACAATCTTCTTTTGTTGTACAATTTGGCTGCAATGCTAAACGAAACAACTCAGGCAATTCGGATGGGCATAATCCAAACCACTTTCTGAAAACGCCCGCTAACCTAAAGCTGGCACTGTACCCTTCCTCTTAGGCAGATTCTGTCTTACCTCAAACTGGTTATTCGCCCATCAATCTATCTTGACAGTTCGATACAGGAATATTCCCCTATAAACCTGAAACTCCGTTGCATTCATTTGATACCATTCACGGTTCCAATCGTTCGATGACTCCAAGACCAACAATACCATTCGCTTTCGAGCCAATTTCGACTATCAACTTGCCAAAAGAAAAAGGTCCACCAATTTCACCAGGAAACCCCAAGTACGATATCGCAGATCAAATATAATCAAAAATATGTCTCACGAGAGGAAATAAAATTGAACAGAAGCAAGACGGCAAGACCAACAACCGTCAACCTGATGCCATAAGAACGTTATTGAAAACCAATTCTTGGAAGTGGAGAAACTCGTTTGCTTCTTGTCAGCCGTTTAGCAACAACTATGATCACCCTCGCATTGAATGAAGAAACAGTGTTTTTGCAGAATAATTTATTAGCTTGTTTTCATTTTTCGGCTGTGCCTTCGAAAATGTCTTATGTTCATATTACTTATCAACAACTAAGATATACAATTAGAGAATACCAACATGGCGAAAGATAAGAAATGGAAACAATTCAGATATGATATGAAATGAATGATGATGATGAAGAACAGCAACAAGAACTCTGTGCCGAGTCGCGTAAATATTTGCAAATTTACAAACGTACATATTTCGATATACATACATATGTACATACACTCATATTTATCTCTATTTGTTTGTATGTGTGTAAAGTTCACTTTGTGGGCGCTGTTGTTTCACTGTCGCACAACAACATCCATAACAGTTAAATCATAAATGCAATATAGATAATTTCATATATCTTTTCGCGTGTGTGACAGACGAGCAAATACAAATAAATTAAAAACAAAGGAAAATGGGTTAAAATGCCTGAATGATAAGATAAAATACTAAATTAAACCTGCATTCCTTCCTCATTTCGCCAGCCATATGACAATATTGTGGAATTGTGTGACTTAGACTAACGGAATAATACTCAGACTGCATACACAAAATACTCATTGCTTGTAATTACGTTCATACGATAGCCTACACATACATATCCGGTACA